ACCTGTCCCCCGCGGCCCACCTGTCCCCGGCCGCCCACCTGTCCCCGGCGGCCCAGGCTCGCTCCCGGCCTCCCCGTCCAACTCCCGCCTCCCTGGCTTCCGCCGGGCAACTCGGCCCAAGTGAGTCAGGGCGGGCTTTCGGGTCTCTCCTGATTCTCGCTGTTTTCTCCCCAGCGGAGAGGAGAGCGCCGATTTACGCCCCGGGAGAAAACTCCAGGCTCTCGACGCGAAGCCCTTGTCCCGGCAGCTGCCGGAGGCCCCTCGCGGCGGCGCGCCCGTCCGTCTGTCCGCCCGGGTCTGTGACGCGGCACTTGCTGGGCCGGCGAGAGGCCGGGCCCGGCGGACAGGGGACCCCGCGGAGGCGGGCGGTGGCCGGAGGCCTCGCAGGCCGCCCCGCGCGTCCCCGGGAAGGCGGTCCCCTCCAAGGCGCCGGCTCGTCCGGCTGGGGGCCGGAGGTCAAGGCCGGCACCGCGGAGGAAGCCACGGAGAGGAAGGGAGCCACAGGCCGCGGCCGGTAAATCTGCTGCCTCATCCCGGCGCCCCGGTCCCGCCCGCACGCCGCCACTCACGATGCTCTCGGCCATGGCGGCCACTCCTCCCTCTGGACTCGAGCCCCGGGCCGCCGCCGCCTGCCGCCCCGAGGGCCTCACAGCCCCAGCTCCGGCCTCAGCCCCGGCCCCGGCCTCCCTCCGCCGCCGCCACCGCCGATCCAGCTTCGCCCGCCCAGCCTCCACCAGCGCCGACGTCCGGGCGCCTCGCTCACACCGCTCCGCCGGCCGCGCAGACCCGCCAACGACGTTCCGCGCCAACGACGTTCCGGGCGCCAACGGCTCGCGCATGCGCACTGAGGCCCCGGGCAGGGCGCCGCGCGGCCCCGCCCAGCCTGGCCCCGCCCAGCCTGGCCCACGTGACTCCAGCCCCGCCCGGTCAGGCCCACGTGACCCTGGCCCGGCGCCGCAGCCGAGCTGGGAAAGGCGCACGAGTGCTAAATGGCTTTATTTTTGCCAATTGTCTGTTTCTGCTATGAAAGATTCTGGAAATGCTGGAAAGACCAACAGGGAAGAGAAATCTGAAATCTCATCCAGAAATTGCCATTGTTGTTACGTGCTGTAACGTCAGAACTCATAGCTGAAAATCTATAAATCTCAAAGGAGATTGCCCACCTTTCTGCCACGGAACAGCTGGTGGATTGAAACTGCCTGTCCGTGAGTTTGCAGCGCAACTCCAGCAGAGCTCCCCGAAAGTAGCCATTGGTGGGTTTTACTTAGAAGCCCTATTGCGCAGTTATTAAGCGCTCAGTTGGTAACCAAAAAAAATAAATTAATCAGTAATTAAAATGCGACTGGTCTCCTGGAGAAAGATGTGGCAGTCAGCTTTCATAAACATTAAGTCAAAAAGTCTCACTGTCATTACATAGATTGCCAACCACACGCAGCCACCCAGCAATGACTCGCCAAGAGGCAAATGGCATACGGAGGATAGCAAAAACCAGAGAGCATCCTTTGGCCCCTGGCAAGACTCCAACCTTGGAAATTTGATAAGGTGATTCTACTCTGCCTGGTGAGTTCAAGGTAAATCAAATTTCCATCCAGGCAGTGAAACTTTGTTGGCTGGGTTACACTGGTGGAAACAGTGTTTGCAAACATCAGCTGGGCACCTGTTGTTGTTCTGTGCTGTCCATTCACCTGCAACTCATAGTAACCCTGATGTACAATAGCTCTGAAGCCTGCCCTGTCCTGAGCCAGTCTCATTGACTCCAACACACTTACCCCACCTCCACTGCCCCAGTTACTGTATTGTAAGAGTTTCTGAAAGACTCTACTTTGAATGATTGTCTGCATGAGAGTTTAAAAGTACCGCTGGAACCACTTAGCGAGAAGCTAGCTGAAAATGGCTTAGTAGGCAAGCATATGGACATGTCTCAAACAGGGTGCTTTTTGAGACCTCATAAGCCCCAGAAGAGCAGCCATGAAAACTAAAGTCCTTGAGAACTTACATAAAATACAGATTTAAGAGAAGCTACTTTCTTTGAGAATTTACAATAAATATAGATAAGGTTTTTTTCTACCTGAGTAGATCATTAAAAGCTCTGGTTCCTGGATGCCCAAGGACGCATTCCTTTCTAGCTCCAGAGATAATTGTTAGATACATTACGTTGTTTCATTCAATTCTTCTGTGTCCTCCAATTCCTTTTGGTATAACTGAGGAATATCTATCTGCGTTTCATTGACTGTGCAAAGGTGTTTGACTGCATGGATCACAACAAATTGTAGCTAACCTTGAGGAGAATGGGAATCCCAGAACACTTGATTGTGCTTAGGCACAAAACATATACTTGGACCAGGAAGTGGTCCTCAGAACAGAGCAAGGAACAACCACTGCATGGTTCAAAATAGGAAAAGGGTGCATCAAGGATGTTTCTTGCCTCCATACTTTTTAACTCTATATGCAGAACCAATCATTCGGGAGGGTGGGTTTTATGAGGAGGAATGTGGCATCAGGATTGGAGGAAGATTCATCAACAACCTACTATGTTATGCAGATGATACAACCTTGCTTGCTGAAGCTGAAAAGGACCTAAAGTGCTTGCTGCAGAAGGTCAAGGATTCAATATGGATTGAAGCTCAACATCAAGAAAACAAAGATTCTCACCACTGTGCCAACTGGAAGCACCATGATAGATGGAGAAGAGATTGAGGTTGTTTACAATTACAGCTTGTTCGGTTCCACAATCCAACATTTTTGGCTGTGCACATAGAGGAACACTTTTACACCACTATATGTGTTATTTTTAAATGTTTCCTGTGAATCTAACATCAAAGCAAATGACTAAATAGCACTTTAGATAAATGTTCCTTCACCAGGAGAAACAGTATCCTATAATCTAGCTCTATTCAGGGCCAGCTTTACGGCTTCTGTAAGAACAGTGCAGCATTAGCCTTCCAACCCCACAGGCACGAGAGTGCCCATCACCCTTATCAACAGCACAGATCCCGCTCCTGGGAGGTCAGGCGAGCTCCCCCACCACACTCCACTCTCTTTACCTTCATTTATCAATCCAGCTGTCCTTCCCCTGGCACTCACTGCTTCACTGCATTTGATAATGTGCTACAATGGAGACACAGAGCTCCTTAGACAATGCTTACAGATATGGGCTTATTAGGAAAGTCACAGGTTAAAATTCAAGTTCAAGAACAAGTCAGGGGCTAACTCAGTCCCATAAGGACAAATACTGTATAAGACCATTATATGAAGGAAGGGAGCTCTGGTGGCCTAGTGGCAAGAAGCTGCATTGCAATCCCAAAGGTACATGGTTCAAATCCACCAGATGCTCACTGGAGAAGGAAGGGCAATCTCCTCCTGTGCTAGTCAGATCTAATTCGACAGTACACAACAAAACAAACAAACAGAACATGTATGAGGATCTGAGGAAGAGAGAGGGGAGCAGAAAGGTGAGGATGGGTAAAGGGGCAATCATCAGGTCACAAAATTTGATGGGTAGAGGGGAGAGTGGGTAAAGACATGGGAAAGATCCCGTGTGAAAGACAAATATATGAACTTTGTAAGTAAACTAGCATAAAAGAAAATATTTATTAAAAGAAAAAACATGTCAGGATGCAGGTCTTCAGAATACAGCCTTTCCAGCTGCAGCCAAAGGCAGGCTTCTCTGGCCCCTGGCTTGAGGCCTGATCTCTGTCCTGCTCAGGTAAGCCTTCCAAAGCTCTAGGCAGTGGCAATTCCGTGCCTGGGGACACCCCTGTGCTACCCATATACTTGCAGCCTGGAGGCTCCCTGCTCCTCCCGGGCTGTGAGCCCACAGCTCTGTCTTATAGCAGACATGTGGTCTCACCACCTCTGCTGCCACCATCTCATCTCGTGCCATCTCACTGTCTCACACATTTCTCCAGTGGCACAGCTCCCTCTCTCTGGTTCCAGGAATTTCAGCCAGAGAGCTTAGATCCAATGGCACCACTGCACTCTCTGGCCTTTCTTGAGGGCATTGAGACTGTTTTCTAGAACATCTCGGGTGCAGTCAACATAACTCTGATGGAGGACAAAACAGATCAATTCCCACCTTAGAGTTCTTCACAGCTTAGCTGTTGGCGATGTTGTGGGCTTCTAAAAGAATCAGTATGGATGAGCAGAAAGCAAACCCTGGTGGCAGCAGGCTTGAAGTCTGGAAACTTCTCCATCCTGGGCATGCCTCATGCTGCGACTCACCAGGACTCCCGCTCAGGCCTGGTGCCCAGCTGGGGCCCCAGTCACTTCCAGGAGGTTAGTCACTCTCATAACAGTTCTTAATATTTATTTTCATTTTATTTTACATTCATTTTGAATAAATAATAATTTTTTTAAGAAAAAAAAAGCGCAAACACATCTGTCTGCAAAGAAGTGATGATGAGACTTCATCTCATACCTTTTGGACATGTCCTCAGGATGGGCCAGGTCCTGGAAAAAGACATCATGCTTGGTGGAGGGTCTGGGAAAAGAGAAAGACCCTTGACGAGATGGGCTGACATGAGTGAACTCAAATATTGCAGCAATTTTGAAGACAAAGTGGCCCAGGCAGCGTCTTACTTGATTGTACGTGTGGTAATCATGGTTGGAGCCAACTCGACTGCACCTACAAGCAGTCACAACCCCAGTGGTGCCATTTACCTTCCTTACATAGTCAACGAGCTTGCGCTAACCGAGGAGAGCCTGAAGCATCTGCTGCAGAGGGTCAAGGACTGTAGTCTGCAATAGGGATTTGAAGCTCAACATCAAGAAAACAAAGATTCGCACCACTGGGCCAATTGGCAGCATTTATGATAGATGGAGAAGAGACTGAATATGCTGATTTCAGCTTGCTTGGTTTCACAATCAACACTTTTTTTCTTTTTTAAAATTTAGAATTAATTTCAATGAAAATTTACAGAGACTTTGGATTTCCATACATTCATTGTTGCACTTTTCTCCTTGCCCACCCCTCCCATCCCAGTACACTCTTCTCTTTGAAAAGTAAGAGAAAATTCCCCCCATTGTTTTACAGTCCCTCCCCCAGGTCCATTCCATTATGCAGCCTTCGCTCTGGACTCCTTTTTTTTTTATTATTATTATTTTGTGTGCGTGTACTGTCAAATCAGATCTGACTGGTACAGGAGGATATTGCACCTCCTTCTCCGGCAGAGCATCTGGTGGATTCGAACCGTGTTCCTCTGGGATTGCAGTGCAGCTTCTTGCCACTAGGCCACCAGAGCTCCCCTAGCTCTGGACTCCTGTCATGACAAAAATACCTAATCACATATCCCTTTTAAACAGTTTTCTCCCTCATCTGTTTCAATGCAGTATACATTATTGTAACCATCTTTCTCAGTCTCCCCCCAACCCCGATGTGTCAGTCCTGTTTTACAATAGTGGCACCATGCAGTATTTGTCCCTTTGTGACTGAGATACTTCACTCATCATAATGTCCTCCAAGGTCACCCATTTTGAATAATATTTCATGAGTTCCTTGCTTTTCAATGCAGCATAGTATTCCATTGTGTGAATATACCACAGCTTCTCTAGCCATTCATTTGTTGATGGGCACTTAGGTTGTTTCCAACTCCTTGCTATTGTGAACAAAACCGTGATGAACATGGATGTGTGCATATATCTGCTTGGATGTCAGTTATGGTCTCTTTGGGGTATATTCTGACAATCAACACTCGTGGCACCAACAGTAAGGAAATCAGAAGAAATATTGCATTTGGGAAATCTGCTCTCAGGGGCCTCTCCAGAGTGCTGAAGAGCAAGGATATCAGTCTAGAGACTAAGGTGTGCCTGATCCAGGCCATAGTCTTCGCAATTACTTGCTCTGCATCAAAGAGCTGGACAATGACCAAGGATGACAGAAGAAGAATTGAAGCCTTTGAGTTGTGGTGCTGGAGAATAGCATTGAACATGGACTGCCAAGAAAACAAACAGGTCTGACTTGGAGAGGGTGAAACCAAGCTGCTCCTTGGAGGCAAGAATTTTGAGATTCCATATCTCTTACTTTGGACATGTAGTCAGGAGGATTCAGTCTTTGGAGAAGGTCATCATGCTTGGAAGGATCAAGGAACAGCACAGGAGAGGAAGACCCCAGGTGAGGTGGATTGACATAGTTACTGGGGTAACAAGGCAGTGAGGTTGGCTCAGCATAGAGCAGGATTCCGAGCTATCACGCATAGGGTCAGTGTGAGTTGTAGTCGACTTGACAGCACATAACCACAACAACATGCAGTTCCCTGAGGGTCAGCAAAAGAGAAGAGGACTCGACTCTCACCTAGAAGGCCTGACCAGTGACCACAGCTATGGCTTTGAGCATGGTGGAAGTCTAGAGAACAGAGCAAAACAGGGCAGGCCCCCTCTGTTGTCCAATGTCACGTCAACTCACCGGCACCCAAAGACCTTGGAGGGTCTCAGCACCTCACATTCATAGTCTTACGCAGCCTTGTGGGGACAGTCAACACAGACCACGCCAGACAAAGCCAGTGGCTTCGCCACTGCAGTGACTCCGCCACTGCAGTGACTCGGCTTCTGAGAAGCACTTAAAAGTTTGGTTTTATGCTCTGCCACCACCGCCTTGAAATTCTTTAGTGGTTTTGAACAAAAGATCTTGTTCTATGTTTTTATTTTGTACTAGTAGCCAATCTTGCCCATAACCTCAGAGAAAAAGTTTTGAAAACTTGTACCAAGTGTTCACTGCAGCACTGGGCCCATTGGCCACAAAACAGAAGCCACCATGTCTCCTTCAGCGCGTGGGTAGCAGCACATGGCGCACCCACGTGCAGCAGTACTGAGGCAAGGATGAAGTCCCGATTCGGGCTGCTACCTGGATGGACGCACAGACACATGGACACGTGTGGTCGGGTCCCACCTAAGTGAAGTGTGTAGACTACAATAGGCAAATGATAGGGACCCGAGCTTCTCAGTGGTTACCTGAGGTAGGAGGGAGTCGGAGGAGGAAGATTTTTCATTTATGGGCACTGCTTCATTAAGTGTTTTGCTGCTGACTGAAAGATTATCAGTTCAAATCCACTAATGGCTCCTCTGGAAAAAAGCGACGTTATCTCTTCCTATAAAGATTTACAGCCCCCCCCCCAAAAAAAAAAAGATTTAAAGCCCCAGAGATACAGTGGGTCACAATGGGTTCGAACTGACTCAATGGCCATAGGATTTATTCACTTCCTGAACAACATGCCTCTGAAAAGTCTCTGAACTTGGAGAAATAACAATAGTTAGAGAAAAGCTTCAGGTCTTTTGTTCATAGGGTCGCTATGAGTCGTGCTCTACTTGACAGCAATCAACAACAACAACCGTGCAGTGCATTAAGTGTTGAACTGCTAACCAATAGGGCAGTGGTTCGTATCCCCCAGCCAGGCTCTGGGAGAAGGAGCTGAAGGATGGTCATAAGCGGGATGGAGTTGAAGGCAGTGGTCTGGGCTTAGGCTTGGAGTTGCTGCTGATGGTGGTGGAGTGGCTTGGGAAGGGGCACTAGTGGGTGGATGCCATGATGCCCACAGCCAACACTACCTAATTGGGCAGGTAAAAATGTTGAGTGGCGTATGTTTTTATTGCAATAAAACAATTTATTCTTAAATTCTGAAAACTTCTAAGAGGCTGAAATCTAGTTCTGATTGTCTTCTCATCACCCTTCCCGAGAAAGCCAGGGACTTGCTCCTGCCACCTCCTCTCCCTTGTCACTGCTTCCTGTCACATTAACTGCCACCAGTGCTCAGGATACGTCCCACTCAGAGTGACCAAGCAGGGAACGGGAACTGCCCTATAGGGTGCCAGGACTACAGATCTTCAGGGCTACAGCAAAGCGGCTGGTGGGTTTGACCTTCTGAGAGGTTTGCTGCCAAGAGTCCACTGCCAGCAGGGTTCCTGTCCATTTCCAGGCACAGAGCTTGTGACTCCCACGTTTATTCTAGGTCCACAGCACTGACACAGCAAATCTGAGCCCCCAACTGGGCCCACAGGGGAGTCTGCGAGGCTGGTCTCAGGGGCCCGCAATGAGCCTTGGCATCCTCAGAGCCTATTTGAGGGGAGGCCACTGGCCAACAGTCAGCCGGGGAGAGTGACTCCTCACATGATCCGCCTGTGATCACGGGTCAGGCCCTGGCTCCATTGCAGGTGGGTGGGGAGAGGCTGGAAGGCGGGACTTTCCAACTCTGCAGCCCAAGATTTTCCCTTTGGGTGGAGGATGGAGGAAGGAGAGAGGAGGCCCCTGCTTGGCCAGGTGAGCTGCGCTGTCTTTGCATTTGGGTTGAAGAGGTTCCCAAGTGGGTGTCTTTTGGGGGCTTCAGTTCTCATTCACTTCACCCTATCTCACCTCACTCCATCTCCCCCTTTGTCCTGGAGCCTGTCCTTAGATGGGAAGAGATGATGAGAGTGGGGTGGCTGGGACTTTACTAACACCCTCCGCGCGCGCACACACACACACACACACTTAGTTGCTCACTCAAGCTTTAAAGTGTGACCAAAACCTTGCCCTTGGGTTTGATGTGGCCTTGAGGAGTGTCCAGGTGGGGTCCCTCAAGTCTTTCCTGGGGCACTGTGCCTGATGCCCTCTCTTCCTGCTTGCTCTCTGCTCCATTGAGGCTCAGGCCTGTTCAGGTCCTGGCCAATGGCCCTGGAGGGGTCTCTTCTGTGGCTCTGGGGCCACCTCTGACCAAGAGGGTGAAAGGGGTGAGTAGGAATGACGGTACCATTGTCCTGGCCAGCTGCCTATTGCAGGCTACCCATCACTTCTGTGACCCTTATCCAGTCAGCCTGACCAGTCCTCTTGGTAACCATTCTCTCTAGTGGGGAGACACGAGGCCGATTGTGGGATCCAGGACTGTCTGGGCAACAGCCTGGGGGACCCATGTCCTCCCCTGGGTGGGGAAGGTCCCTGGCCACCAGGAGCTCAGCACTGTGTTGGGAGGCAGAGGGGCAAGGGCCACCCCCCTGGCCACTGCTTCCCACGAGCCCTCCCCACTGCCCTGAGGGGCCTGTAGGATGGTCTCTCAGCAGGACAGATGTGAAGTCCTCAAACTCTTGTTGTCCAGGGTGCAGAGCATCCTTCCCTCCCCTTTACCCTCCCGTCATGGACCGTGCAGTGTCCAGGGCTACTGTGATAAGGCCTAAGCTGTGGCAGATGGAGGCCAAAGGGCAAGAGTCTGCTGTCCGAGTGCTGGAGGCTCTGTCCAGACATATGTGTGCATGTGTCTGCATCTGTGCACACAGACCTGTTTGTATGTGTGCTGTGTCCACATGTCTACGTGTGTGTCTGTGTATCTGCATGTGTGTGCACCTGTATGTCCCTGTGTGTGTGCTTATATGTGTCTGCTTATGTTTTTGTGTATGTGTGCGACATTTTTAACACAATTCAAGCCATGACACTGACCGTCATGTGGTCACGCTGCTGAGGGGCTTCTGTCCCTCTACCTTTACAGGACACCCTGCGGCTGGAACTGGCCCCCTCCATGAAAGCCCCCCCTCCTTGCAGTTGCCTACACCCAGTGCCATGGAAGAACTACTCTGGGGCCTGGAGCTGCAGCTACTGTCCTCCAGGGGCTGAGCACCCACCCAGACAAGGTGGCTTTCCTGGGACACCTGGGAACACGTGGATCAAGTATCTGACCTTGCTCTCCAACCTCCCCTTCTCCCTGCTAGGCCTGCTGGGCCTGGCAGCCGGGCTCTGGGGCCTGGCCCTCAAGGATCCTGGAGGGAATGGCTGGGGGTGTCCTCTGCCCACAGACCTCCTGCTGGTGCTGGCTCTGGGGGGCCTGGTGGTCAGTGCAGTGTATCTGGCTGGTGTCCTGGGCGCCCAGTGTGAGAGCGCTGGCATGCTGCATTGCTTCTCTGTCAGCCTTCTTTCCCTCCTGGTGGTCGAGGCTGTAGTGGGCACCCTGGTGGTGGCCCTCTGGAGTCGAATGCAGGACAACCTGGACCATACCTTGCTTGTGGCAATAGATTGCTACCAGGATGACCCGGACCTGTGCTTCCTCCTGGACTGGGTGCAGCTCGGGCTGGGGTGCTGCGGAGTCACTTCCTACCAGGACTGGCAGAGGAACCCGTGAGTCGGGGAGGAGGAGTCAGCGGAGTGGAGGACGGGGCACACACACTCACTCTAGTGTGCTCACATGTACGCATGAAGCTCACACACTCGTGCTCACACACACACATACCACTGATCTCACCCCCCATGGGACTGATCACGTGCACACATGCATCGCTCTAATCTCACACACGTGCACTCACAGCAAACACAGTCACTAATCTCACATAAACTCACCCGCATCATTCGCACAGCCTGATGGACCCGCGGGCTCACACAAGCTCTCCCACACTCACAGAGCCCACCACTTCTCACCTCCGCACGCATGCATACACACAGCACACACAAGCACAGCACACACGTTCTCACTCACCCCTACCCCGCGCTCACACTTGTGCTGACCCACACTGAGATGCAGCCCACCGTGACCCACCCACGGAACAGACACTCGGCTGGGGGTGTCCTTCAGCCCACTCTCCCCGCTCCAGCCGTGCTGCCCAGCCCCATGATGTCCTGCAGGCTGCTGAGGGAGGGGTCTGTCCTCCCCCTCCCCCACACCTTCCTCACAGCTGAGTCATCAACACCGCCCTTCCTGCCAAGAGGAAGGTGGGCGGGCTCCGAGTGGGAAAACGGCACGTGTGCATGTCCATACATGTCCGCATGTGTGCGCATGTGCCCCTGTGTGTGTGCTAGTGCACATTCGTGTGGATGCCTGCATGCACAGGTGTGTGCGTGTACACACTGGGGGTGCACCACATGTCTTCACGGCCACTCGTGCACGTGTGAGCACACGGGCTCTTGCGCACCACTGCGTGGAAATGATGTGTCAGAACAAGGCCCCTCCCACCCCAAGATTGATGTGCTGTTCACCTGCCTTCCAGGTCCTTCAACTGCAGCTCCACCGAGGCCCAGGCCTGCAGCCTCCCCGACTCCTGCTGCCTCCGCCCCCCAGAAGATGGCCCGTCGGTCAAAGCCCCGTGCGGCTCCGGGGCCCTGCGCCTGCGCGAGGCGGCCGCGGCCAGGGTCGTGCACCTGGAGGGCTGCGGGACGCGCCTGCGGGGGTGGCTGCCGCGGGGTGCCTGCGCGCTGGGCCGGGGCGCTGCGGCCGTCGTGGTGGTGCAGGGCGCGGAGCTCGTGCTGGCTGCGTGGCTGCGGAGAGCCCTGGCAGAGCGCTAGAGCCCCCTGAATCCGCTTCCACAACCCCGGGCCTGGGAGGGGCTCGGGAAGGCCGAGGTGACGGCTCAGCACAGGTCTCTCCGCCCACCCAGGGAGGGTCCCAAAGACCATCGTGGATACTGTGGGCTCGTGCTTCCAACACGTCCATCTGCCCCGGACCCCCTCCTGCAGGGACTCCAGGGCCACGGCACGCACCCCCGGAGTCTGTCCCCTGGGAGCGCTCGCGGAGACTCTGCCCGCCTGCACCCTGGCTCTCAGGCCTTGAGTCTCCAGGTCCTGACTGCCCTGCTCACTAACTTGCCAGTTCCTGCCACACGCGGCGTGTGGACCCAGCCTCTCCCCCTCTCTTCTCCTCCTTCCCCCCAGCCAGAGCTGAGCAGTGGTGGGAAGCAGCCTCTATCCCCAGTTCCCACGCCGTCTCTACCTCTCAGGGGCTCAGCTGAAGGCCCCACGTCCAGGGCCCAACCTTCCAGCCCTGTCCAACCTCCCAAGGCCCTAACTACTCCCGCTTTCAGTCCTGAAGACCCCCACCCCTAGTCTCTTTCCCACTCTCTCCACTTCTTTCCTCAGGGTGGGTGTAGTTGAAGGACAGCCCTGAAGGTGGTGGTCCCAGGCTACACATCCCTCCCTCAGCCCTCCCCTTTCAGTCCTCGGTGATGAGTGAGCTGGAGGCCCGCTCCAGGGTCCCCTGTGCTTTTTGAGGGGAAAAGGGTAGATTTTTTTTTTAAATTGTATTATTTTTTGTGTGAGTGTACCACCAAATCAGATCTGACTGGTACAGGAGGAGATTGTCCCTCCTTCCCCGGCAGAGCATCTGGTGGATTCGAACCGTGCGCCTCTGGGATTGTAATTGCAGCTCCTTACCACTAGGCCACCAGAGCTCCCCAGGGGTAGATCTTTTATCAAGATGAAGCGTTCACCCAGTAAACTGTTTCCATCATCAGCATTCAATGTGAAGAATTCTCACTCAAACATCTTGAGCCACCACCTATTCTAGCTCTGTCTGCCCCACCTGGCCTCCACATGAACACAGACATGCCGTAGAGAGGGAACTAAGTTTATTTCAAAACATACCCAACCCCTGGATGAGCTGGAAGGATGCATTCCCATTGGGGAACAGATGGTGGAGGGGCCTGGCTCCCTCTGAAGCCCCAGCCTTACCCCACCCTGTCTGACCACGCAGGCCTCAGCTGGAAAGAGCTGGGTAAGGGGGTGCTGTCCAGCCCCAGAGATCTGGGGTCCACTGCTCCCCACCAGCATGGCCCTGTGGAGACCCCCACCATGAAGGGCAGGTGAGCTGGGCCAGTGTCCCCAGGAGTAAGCAAGCCATGCAGGAGGGCTGAGTGGGGTGCTGCGGGTGAGGGATCCTGGTGGAGATCAACAGGGTGAAGGCTGGCTCTGGTTTTGAGCTGCACATGGCCCCCAGGTGCTTGGCAGGGGCTGTGCTCCCAGGGACTGCAGTCGGTGAGGGGCTGGGCAGCGGGCAGGGTGGTGCGGCCGGCCCTAGATGATGCCGTACTGGGCCAGCTCGTGGAGTTCCAGGTGGTTGAAGGCCTCCCAAGGGCAGATGACTGTGATATCTGCAGGCAGACTAGGTATCAGGGGCCCTGCCCAGGACCTCTCGACCCTCAGGACCCTGCTCTCCATGACCCATGGGAACCCACGGTTTGCCAAGGGTAAGCAAACCAAGGTGGTGGGCCGAGGCCTCTTCCTAAAACACACCAGCTTCCAGGGGAGTTGTTCACTGAGGGCCCCACTGGGGAGGCAGACCCTTGAGCCCTACTGTCCAATTCTAGACGTAGGAGCAGCCCCACTTCACAGGGTCTGAAGCTGGGTGTCAGGGGAAAAGACAAGGCAGCTTGGGAGGGTGTTCCCCAAGGAGCCCTGGGGCGAGGGAGGTGCCAGGCACTGGGGGTTGGTGTGGGATGTGGAAGATTCTGGAATAAGGCAGGTTGGTGAGCACAGGGAGGGTGGGACAAGCCTGAATTGGGCACATCAAGGTGAGGCATCATCATACCTGTTCCCAAGCCTTCCATGCCCGGGATGTCATCCCCAAACCTGCAAGGACACAGGGATCCCAGGACCAGTCCTAGGTTAGAGAGTCAGGTTCTCCCAAGAGGAGGTTTTGAATCCATTTATTGCTGGGAGTTCACATTTCCTCTCTCTCTCTCCCCCTCAGCCACCCTTCTCCACAATTTTTGGTCAGAGATAACAGCTATTGTTTTTGTTTTATATATATAATCAGAATCTGTTTTCTAAGGATGCACCCAGGGATCTAATAAACCAGGGATCTTTCTGGACATCTGGGTGGAAATCCAAAATCTCAGCAGAAGGTCACAGAATGAACCAGAAGAACTGGACTAAGGCCAAGCCCTGTGCTTAAACCCCAACTGCTTGACCTGAGGCGCCCAGGGAAACAGAGACACCCAGAAAACTATGAGGTCAAAATCCAGGGGATGTACACAGCCATGTGGGGGGCTGTGAGTGTGCATGCATGAACACAGATCCCTGAGAGGATGAGGTCTCTCCTCCGTGTACGTGGACAGGGCGGCCAGGTGTGTGGACAGACATGTCAGTGTGGCTGTGTGCACAGATGCATAAGTTTCCTGTGTGTGTAGACACATCAGTGCTCTGCGGGCGGGGGAGGTGTATAGCCGTATCAGCTTGTGGGGTGTGTGCCTTCCAGACGTGCTCAGCACTGGCACTGCAGTTGGGGATAAGGGTCTTAGCCTCTCCAGCACCCTTATCCTGGGGAACAGGGACCTGGAACAGGCACTGCTCAGGCCGTTCCTCCACCCATCTCCCCACCCAGCCTCCGCTGGCCGTGACCCTGGGAATCTGGGAGCAACCCTGCTCTACTCTCCTACCCCAGCCTTGCTTACCCTTGGATGCCTTTCTTGGGAGGCTTGCTCTTGAACTGCCTGGTTTGCCGCTGCTTAAATTTAGGGGGCCCTTTCCTGGGAGTAACAGGCCCCCCAGTCACCCTGGTGGCTGGTCGGAACTCAGACTTGGGCAGCTCCAAGTTCATGGTGAGGACACTGGCGGTGCTGCAGTGACCCTGAGCCTCAGAACTTCCTCACACAGGCGGAGGGCTGGCTGGGGGCCAACCAGGGGAGAGGTCCATTAGCCCTGCCTCACACTTCACCCTAAAGGTGCTTCTGGGGGTGATGGGGGCTCAAGCCCAGGACGTGAAGGCCAGTCCCTGCCCTCCCACAGGACACTAGACCGCATCCCTCCCATGGGCCAGCCCACCATTGCTGCCAGACCCCCCAGCACGCTTCCTCCCATGTCATCCCCCCTCTACCCTCCCTCATCCCCCCACACCCAATCCTCACCACTTTTTCCTCTCTCCTCTTGCTAGGCAGGCCCACCTCTCTCCCCAGGACCCCAAACCTGACACATATTATGCACCCACATGCATGCATTCTCATCCCATCCCCTTGTGCCTGGAGGTCTCTCTGGCACAGACTGGCTCCCTGCTCCCACCCTTCTGAGCCTCCATGGCCTCCTCTCCATCCCCCACCCCACAGGGCCCTCCACCTGCAGAGAAGCCCAGTCAGGCCTCAGCCCTGGTGCCCTCTCCTCAGGGAGGCCCGTCCTGCCCCGACTCCATCCATGCTGGACTAAGGATACTCTGTAGCATAGATTTCTCTGGACACTTGGCCCATGCTCCCAGCCCTGTGTCTGCCTCCTGCCTGTCCTGTAACCCATAGGCACCCAGGGACTTGGCTGTCCCTTCCAAGCCACACCCCCAGCCTCTAGTCCACATGGGTGGCCATGATGCTGAAGAAGGGGAGGTTACTGGTAGGGCCCCTGTATGTGGTGATGGTCCTGGAGGGGTCCCCTCTGCATGGTGGTGATATCAGGTGGGGGTGGCTCTTTAGGGGGCAGTTCCTGGTGGGCTCCCCCCGCGTGGTGATGCCTGGCAGGGCCCCATTCTGTGGTGGTGGTGGCGGGGGCCCCCCTCCATGGTAGTGGTGGGGGGGCTCCTCTGCATGGTGGCGGTGGTGGTGATGCTGTCTCTCAATGACCCTGTGACGGAGCCTGAGTTTCACAATCCCATCGCGTGGAAGAGAAGCTGAAGCTTGGGGATAGGAGGAGGCTTTCAATGTGCTGAGCTCTACAGATGCATCTGGTAGGGACGCCCAGCTGTGCCTTTGGGCTCACTCCCTTGCTCAGGGGCTACCATGGGGGCAGCATCCGGACCCCACACAAGGGTTATTACCTCCTCCTCTGCAGATAGTTCAAAATTAATGACCTTGGTGAGGGCAGCTCAGCCTCCTGTAAGCCTATTAACCCGAGAGAGAGAATCCTAATCCCAGCGGTGCACCCGGGAACTCTGCACACTCCAGAAGGTTCTAGAACAAGCACAGGACACAAATAGGCCTTCAGGGACAGGTGCCCTGGGAGCCCCTCTGGAGGTTTCCTCCCCTGCCCCCAGGTCACTCCTGCACTTTGGCTGCCTGGTCTGGCCTTGGCCACCACTGGGAGCTGCTGACAGGCCAATTTGGGGAAGAAGGCTCTTTGCGTCCCAGACTGAGATCAGGGTGACCTACCACAGCAACCACCCCCCTGAAGGCTCAGCCTTCACCCCCCAAGACTGGAACCAGCTAGAACACTGGGTCCAGAGTCAGGGCACATGAGGCCCAAAGTAGATGGCGGCTCAGACCCTAAAGGACCCACCCTGGGGTCCAGATGGGCAAGGCTGCTCCAGCCAATGGACCCGTCCTGGACTAGAGCCATGACTAGTGGACAAATTTGGGCTTGGACAGGCTTCTGGCACTGCTGTCTCTGTGGAAACTATGGCCCAGGCTGCCCTGTCCCATTGGCCTGGCTCTCAAATCAGCACTGGCTTTGTAGCTGGCCTGGGGGAGAGCTGGCTGCCTAGGGCATCGTCCCAAGAGGTTGAGCAGACCTGGCCTTCTGTCAGCCCACCTGGGCAGCCTCTTCCTCAGCTGTATCCACACCCTCTCACACCCAGGGAGCCCGGGGCCAGCACT